ACATTCCCCTTTTGTTGTTACTTATTGTTTCATACAGCAATTGTAGTGACTTGATCACTGAGCTTTGCAGCTCTCTGCCGTATGCAGACTGTTTCTCGTCGAATGAATAATGCCCATGCATGGTTTTTCTTGGGGGAAACATTCTAACTACGCATGCTTATGCAGTAGGTTCTCGGTCAGAAAGCGTAACGGTCGTACATACAAAGAAGTAGAATAATAGTATAGATACCATTTTAGACAAAATGAGCGAATATGTATCTTGAATATAGAAACTAACATATAAGAAACATAAATAACATAGTAGGAGAAAAAGAAAAATATATCATCTGATGCTTAATTGTTTTTAATTTATTTTGTCTTTTGCATTTCATTAATAAACATTTAAAACTGTATTGTATTTTTTACAATACCCTAACCTGAGTTAAAACACTTTAATTTTCATGCTTGAAGAAGTATATCATCTGATATTTAATTGTTTTTAACTTATTTTGTCTTTTGCATTTAATTAATAAACATTTAAAACTGTATTGTATTTTTGTATTTTTTACAATACCCTAACCTGAGTTAAAACATTTTTATTTTCATGCTTCAAGAAGTTTTGAAGGTTATAGGGATGTAATAAATTTACAGGTGTTATTCTTGAAAATAATTCACTTTAATTTTTCTGAAGTTTTTCAGGAGAAAGCAAGAACATGTTAGTTTGAATAGGAAGAATGAATTTCCTGGTGAGTAAATCATTTCTTTGTAAAATTGAAAATTAAAAAGGTTCATTAATGAAGTTTCTAACTAAAGTAAATGAGAATGAAATGAAAATTCTTTCACGTGGAATTCTGTATATCTATGATAATTTAATAAATTAGGAAAAGTTGCTCTAGAGTCAGGGTATCTTTTAATTGAGTGTTTTTGGTAAACATTTGAAATTAAATTAAACTGATTTGTTTATCCCTCTTTATTGCATGATATGATTAACTGTTGTAAAAAAAAAAGAGAGAGAGATTTTTCCTTAATGGAGATAACATTTTTACATCATGTGGCAACTGACAATTATAATTCACTGAGGACATATAAACTGTTGGGAAGGGTTTTCACACTTTAATTTCATATTGGTTGAGTTGGAGGTTAAAATCTAAATTCTCTTTTGCATATGTCATAAAATACCTTTGTTACAAGTCCTGGAATTAAATATGGAAGTCTGTTTATAACTGGTAAACAGTTTTTCTGAATCAAACTTGGTTCCTCTTGATAGATTGGCATCATGTATATAATTGACAAATGTGTGTGTTGTTGTTGCATTTGTTTTGATATGAAAATACTGCTAAAAGTTGATGATGAAAATGCACATACATGGGGTTAAAAGTTTTTTTTTTAAATGAGTAACTCTTATCTGGAAAAACGTAAAGGGAAAGGTTAATCTCCTTGAACGAATTATAGGACCTGTTGTTAAACGTTAGTGTTTTTCTACTGTTACTAGTGCACAAATATATGAAATACATAATATAGAAGCAGTAATGTTAATATTAGTAATAATTCTGCATGTGTTTCTAAATATTAAGTTCAAATGCACTAGATTTCATTTAAAAATAACCCATTTTTACCTTCTATGGTGCTGATTGTGGAATCGTCTGTTTGTTATTAACATCCATATTTTTTCAGTTTGACGTATTCTCATCCTTGTTTGATATTTTCTAACACATAGTATGAAACTTCACAATTTACCAATCGTGTGTTCCAACACTTTGTATAAAACTTTACAGACTTCCAGTCTTAAAAGTTTCAACATTTTGAATAAAACTTCACAGGCTGCCAGTCTTACATGCTTCAACACCTTGTATGAAACTTCACAGGCTGCCAGTCTTACATGCTTCAACACCTTGTATGAAACTTCACAGGCTGCCAGTCTTACATGTTTCAACACTTTGTATAAAACTTCACAGGCTGCCAGTCTTACATGTTTCAACACCTTGTATGAAACTTCACAGGCTGCCAGTCTTACATGTTTCAACACCTTGTATAAAACTTCACAGGCTGCCAGTCTTACATGCTTCAACACCTTGTATGAAACTTCTCAGATTGCCAGTCTTACATGTTTCAACACTTTGTATAAAATTTCTAAATCTACCAGTCTTTCTGTTCCAACATTTTTAATAATGAAGCTGCCTAAAGCTTATATTTTTAAATTTTGTTTTCTATGCTGAATTAATTGTCAGGATTACATTAACCACAATATTTTTACTTTGTAATTTAAAGCATGTTCTTCTTGTAAGATTATAAAGTTAGATGGCTAAAATGTTTTAATGTCTTTTAATTGAAATAAAATTCTTTAAAGCTTACAAATATTTGCCTGATTATTTTAGGTCCTTTTCTTCATTTTGGTGCTGTACTCAAAGAAAAAGATACAACATCAATCCAGTAAGTTCTTTTCATTCTTGTATTGGAACAACATGTAACCATTTTGTGCTTGATATAGTTTCAAGCTATAATGTTTAAATTAATAAGTATATCTTCATGTACTCTTGCAGATTATCAGTAAATAAACATTACAAGGCTTTCATATGAAAAATATCAGATTTTTAAAAATAAAGTTTTAAAATTTCTTAACTAATATTATTCTCATGCCATTTTTCTTTTCACATCTTTTCATTTTAAGATTAAAAAACTTTTATGCATCAGAAAATGTTCAAACTTCAAATGCAAAATCTTTATAACATCCAGATAATTATCAAATGTTTCTTAAGAAAAGACTTTATAGTTTATGTGTTTATTTTTAATTTTCTCTAACGAATCTCTGTATGGGTTTGGTTGATTTGACCGATCTTGTAACCACCATAAAAATTAGGAAATAAATATAAATTATGCCTTTGTCATTCTAGAATGACTACAAATTATAACATGAAAACACAAGGGTTTAGTCTAAATAGCTTAAATGTCATAACATTATTCATTTATGTATATTTAATATTTTTATTATATTGACCTTCCAGCCATTCCTATCTAACATTACAGAAGCTGCAATGACGCGGCACATTTGCACTCATGTTACCATATCCAATAATATAAAAGTGACCTGTCTTGGCTGTGTTTTAGTGGACTAGTATTTTGTTAAATACAGTCACATTTCCCTTATAATAATTATAAATGTATATACATTATTACTATTTACAAATAAGGTTTTAAACTTTTTTTTCTTAAAACATAGAACTGTAAATAAAGAAGTAAAGCAAACAATTATCTCTTCTAGTTACGATATTCTTACTTGTTTGCTGCTTTGGTTGCTAACCATATAAAATTTCACATGTGGAGGATGTGAAATGAAATAATTTTGTTTAGGTTTTTATATACATTTGAAATAACCAAAAAATCATATATTACTATATTGATACCATAGAATTCCACTATAATTTATCAAGCTTATCAGCTTGAAGTCTTGTATCAAAAGAACGAGTTTGATGTCATAATACTTGAAAATAGCTGAGAAAGAAACAAGGGGGACATTCTGAGCTATCGATTCATTTTTCAAGTCATAGACAGAAGTAGGTATATATGAGTAACTGTTTCCAAAAATGGAAAGGTGGTTGGGACCACTGTATTAGATTCAGTAAAAGTGGCCATATCTCAGCAAATAGAAAAGTTAGGATGTTATGATATTCTAGCTTGTCAATATCGGTAATTTAAGTTCATAATTCGTATGAAACTATAGACTTTATATTTGGACATTACAAACATCTAGTTTGAGCCAGTGTTGCATTCAACATACCATGTGACACACAAAAATCGATATTTAGGTGTGTTTTTTTAATATTTACTCTTAAATTAAGAAATTAACTAATGTGTAATACTAAAATGTGAATTATAATCTACAATTTGATACCAAAGTTATTAACATAAATTCATGAAATAGTAGTTGAATAAAATTCTGAATGTAAGTCAACAAATGTGATGACATAGCCTTTGACTTGTGACCCAAGTCAATTATTTCATTATTGTTGAAAAACATGCATTAAGTTCTTTTTTTTGTAATTCATCATTGTGTTGATAGTAATTCAAATACAAGTTCTACTAAATTATTATATTTAATGGATTTAAAAAGATTGTTAAAGGGAGTCTTAAGTTTTAATCAGTGTTAATTTGAGATTCTACTGTGTGTAGTCATTGATATGAAAACTACTTTTAGGGCTCTAGTGATCAAGTGCGTAACTGTGTTAAACTTTAGTGCTAGGTAACTGTATTACTAAAGAGATAGTGCTTTCAGTTCAGTACTTTGTAAACATAACTTATTTAGCCTAGTGATTATTTTCATGCTCTTCGTATGAAGATCTACATGTGGATCACATGACAAAGCATGCAGATATAGAAAAGTGAGTATATTGGTGTAATGGGTTTTGTTACAAAGAATGGTTTCTATAATTTTAGGTAAATGACAATGAAATTTTCACAATTGTTTTAATGGTTGTAAAAAAACTGAACTGAACTTTAAGAACAGTGATAAAGAACCTAGTTTTTTAGTTTAAATGATCTTTGAGGTATTAAAAATAGTATGAAAATATTTGTAATTGAGAGTTAAAAATAATGATAATGAACTTAATTTTATAACTTAAATAAGCATCATGGTGTTGTGGATTATTATTATCATAAGTCTACCAGTTGTTTCAAAGTTTGAAAATTATATCTTTGTTACCATTTTCCTTTGTGTTTTATATATCACACAAGACTTCTTTTCATAGTTTTATTTCTGATTGTTTTCACATAACATTAGATATTGAAAATGTGGAAATATGTTCTTGTAATTATTTCAGTTATTTTTGTATATGATTTGGAAGAGGATTCTATGTATTGTTATAAATTTCAAATGTTCCTTTTTTTTGTCTTCCTCTACCTTGCAGACAATTAGATGGTCAGACCTTCAGAACTTAGACCTGGATGGGAAAATAGACTTTACATTCATTGATAGTGGATACTTTAATTTATTTTTCCAATTCAAAGAAAGGTAAATTTCAGTAACTGTATAAAGCATCATGTTTTAAATATGGTTTCTGTATCTTTTATTTTTTTAGGAAGTATAAAAGTGTGAAAAATGGCAAACATTTATATAAACTGGAGAAGAGAAATAGCAATACATCTTGAACAAAAAGTGCTCATTATAAATAATGTTTATGGTATTTTATTACAATAAATATGAGTTCCCTGGTCTATAATTTAATATTAAAGTTTTAATACCATATGACACCAACAAAGTATATGGACCAATTAAAAAATATTTTTTTTCATGGATTTGTAGATTCAATTGGTTTTTAGTTAGAACTTCAGATAGAATGTTGAAGCTCTACATGTTTCATATAATTGTTATTTATAGTTTGAGTGAAACACACTGGCTTTCTTTCATCTTAAGAAGATGAGAAGTGATCAACAGATTAGTCTAGATTTGTAGTCAAAAAACATAGGAATCAGTTCCAAACTAGATAAATGGCGAAAGTTGGATCACTTCAGACAAATGCATAAGAACCAAGTGCTCAAATAGATGAGCTGTGACAGTTGTGTCACTAGAAATTTAGTCTTGAAGTAAGTGATTGCACTGGATCCACTTACAAGAGGTCATACCAGTTTTCTCATCAGGATGAAGAAGTTGGCAGTTTTTTTTTTATCTATGTTGTGTTGGAGAAGATAAAACAAACTATTTGTTAGAGAATGATCAATACCAGGTTGAATTGTGTTGTC